AAAAGCAAGAGTAGCGAACATCCTTAATTATTGCAATTTCAGAAAAAGCTGCATACAGATATATGTATCAGATATCGGATTTTAGGTCTTATTATTGGGATACTCACTCAGTTGCATTATTCGCATTAATAAAAACCTCGCAATAATTTCTGAATTTACAGTATTTAATTTCATTGGTTTTAATGAAAAACTCGGGTACAAGCAAATAAGAAGTTTGATGAATACTTTAAGGTGGTTCATAACACTACAGGGAGATAACTCTGTAAAAATCAGCTGAACGTTTTTAATAACGTTCAATTGTTAAGGAAATATTAAGCTCCTCAATGATCAAAATTAGTGTTTTGTCAAACTGCTATATATCCAATGAAATTTTTCCAATAAAGTGTGTGGTTCAAGTTTTTTTAAATATTTTTGTCAAAAGGGTCAAAGTAAATATTTTGTCAAAACTTAATGAAAATTAAACTAGCCAAATTAATTTTAGTCAAGGTGTTTGGTACCACCTTTATAGTTCAGTGTTATCCAGAAAATCTACAAAATCCCCATCAATGATAATGAATCCACAGTTTAAATAAAATGATATGTGACAAAAAATACATGTAGACTGCGGAAAAATACATGTAGACTGAGGAAAAATACATGTAGACTGAGGAAAAAAGACACACAACTAAAACTAACATATATCATATGTAAACAAGTTTAGACAAAGTAGAAATAATAATGACAAAGCATGAAGTATATTGTATAAATACAGTTCCCTACCAATTCAGTTTTTCTGTACAGTATTAAAGTAAGCATCACTATTGTAAATCACAATACATTTCACATATCTACAAACCATATTTTTTCCCCAAAAATATATTTTTGCTTCTTCCATTTTCATAAACACACCCTATAATTACCAGGTATTGGTTACGACAGGTGTCAGGAAATCAGGAAAAGCCTACAAAAATAAGTTGTGCACCATAGCAAAAAGAATTGTTCTGAATGGCAATTGGTAACACAGGTCCTATTGTATCTGCCATAGTGATAGCTGGTTATAGCGCATGATAAAGTTATTGCCAGTAAAAGCAGCAATTAACATATTTTGTTCAAATTGTCCTGAAATTAACAGTATATAACAGAACTCACTTGGAAAAAATGATTGCACTGCAGACCAGAAGAAAGTTTTGAATCTGATTTGTTGTTAATTGATGGTTGCTTGTTTAGTGCCTAGATGCATTGTTTTTGTTGAAACATATACATGATTACAATATTCACTAAATCCATCTACTTATTGTTTCATATGTTTGTAAATAAGAAGACTTAAATAACAGAAAATGGGTAATAACTGGCACTTTTACCTGAAACTAAAATAAAATAATAATCCACAAGTTCTTAAAAAATTACAACCAATACAATATAAAACTAATGTAAAATGTATTTTTGTATGTCTTATCAAGAATTTGAAAATATATATACAGTATACAGACCTAGACATATACATGTTATAATGACTCAGAAGAGAAAGAAAAGACTTTAATAACAGAAAATGGGTAAAAATTCACATTTAGACATGAAAAAATAAAATAAAATGATAATCCTTAAATTCTAAAAATAAAACAACCAATATGATATAAAACTAACTAGAAATGAAAAAGTGTGTTTGATGGAGATTATCTTCCTGAAATATATACTGTAAATTCAGAATTGACAATTTGAAATTCAAATGTTCGCGATGTTTTTTATCATTGCAAAAATTGTGATGAGATAGGTGTATACAGTATACAGACTTAGACATATATGCTAAAAACTAAGAAGAAAACAGAAGATTTAAATAACAGAAAATGGGTAAAAATTCGCATTTAGACATGAACAAGTAAAATAAAATAATAAAAATTGTACCTAAATTCTAAAAAAAATTTACAACCAATATGATATAAAACTAACATAAAATGAAATAGTGTGTTTGATGGAGATTATCTTCCTGAAAATATATATACAGACTTACACATACAGTAAATACTTAGCACCATATGTAAAATAATGGCACAAATAATGAACAAAATTTAAGTAAAATTTCATGCAAGTAAAAACTTGATATGCATATAATTTCATAATAATGCTTTAAGAAAGCTCAAATCTCATTGCATATTATGCATTAATTATTGCTTCAAAATTAGCTCTATAATATAGAAATACAGATTGTAAACATAATAAAACATTTTGAGGTAGCACTTTACCATAATGTAGGTACACAACTAAACTAATATTATTGATATGACGAAATTCTCTTTATTGAAGAGCTAAATAATTGATCAGATACGAATGGAAAAGAAGTGAAGAGGTGTATCTCAGTTTATGACACGAAATTACTTTGCCCACATGGAAAAAAAGAAGAAAAGACAGCACTTTCATTGTTGTTAAAAAAAGTTCATATTATGCATTAATTATAGCAAACACTTTTCCATACATAATATCTAAAAATTTATTCAATATGATTCTGCACAGCTTATATTAGACATAATTTGGCAGAGATATAATAAGAGCAATATCTACTTCCATCAGGAATACTTAAGCAGGTAATCTTGAATTTCATACTTTCGTATTAATCCATTTACAATAAAAATCAGAACATTTTGTTTGGATTATCACATTTTATTTACACTATTGTCTGAACTATCTAAAATTAACATTTTTAATGCATTGCTAAAAAAATAAGCTTTATATACAAAAATCCTTCTTGTAATGATTTTGAGGTAAAATCTTTTACAATTTGCAACCCCTTTATTGAGTTAGGAAATACAAAAATCTCATGATATACAAAATATCAAACTTGTAAAAATTAATAAAAATCAATAACAACTTAAACAAAAAAAGAATGAAAAAATGTTTTGTATTTTTCATGACCAAAAAAACTCTTATGGAAAGACTCTAACATTCAAAAATAATACAAATATTCAAGCACATTAAAAATATCAGCACTTTATCATACAGCACTATACAATACAAATACCCAACAATATTTGTACAGCTAAACAATAATGTGTAATGTCTACATTAAAATTAATAGAAAACAAAATGCCCCTACTATTGTAGGCAGGAAAAAAATAAATGAGATTCTTACATCAATTATGCTTTATAAAAAATGCGACTTAATATCATATAACAGATTTAAAAAAAATCATGTAGGTAAAATGCAATCTTAACTGGATATTTAAAACAATTCTCTACGGAAAACTAGGTTAAAATCAGGTTTAGAGATCCATAATTAAAAATCTATTTCTTTCCTGAAAAGGATTTAAAAAGAGCATACCATACACTCTATAGCTTGATAGTTTGTAATAATTTACTGGCACAAATTGTATTAATTCTATATTAACAGGTTTTCCCCTATATTTTAGATGTTTATATAAAAATAAGATGTGGTTTGATTGCCAATGAGACAACTCTCCACCAGAGAACAAATGACAAAGAAGTTAACAACTGAAGGTCAACGTATAGCCTTCAACAACGAGCAATACATTATGTTTGTAAATCATTAACTATATTAATTGTTAAATTCAGATAAGTTACATCAAAGACAGTTGAACAAGATTTACAATTTTCAAGAGAAAAGAAGTCCCCAAAACGACTTTTTTATAACTGAAATGTTGATTATAAATAGAGTTCAGTTTAACATAATATACCTAAAAACATGTGCTTATCTTTATTTCAAAAATTTAAATCACTAATCAAAAACATAAGCTGTTATCACAGAGATATGTCTCGCCTTTTTGTAATTTTGATAATGCAAATGTTGAAATTAAAATAGAAATACTTTAACATGTAAGTTATGCAAATATTCAAAGTCGATGAACCATGACTGAAGGTATATGGCTAAACAATCTCCATGGAATGAGATGTGCCAATGCTAATACAACTGCATACCAAATACCATTGACTTATCATAAGTCGTTCCCTTTAAACAAACCTAAACACAAACATTAACTTGTAAACTATGTAAAAGTTTCAAAGTCAATGAACCATGATCAGGGGTGGGGCTATATAATCTCCATGGAAACGATACTTGCAAATGTCAATAAATTTGCATACCAAATATCATTGACTTAACATTAGCAGTTCATCTTAAACTGATCTAATCACAAACTAATACATGTAAACTAAGCAAAAGTTTCAAAGTAAATAGACCATGACTGAGGGGGTGGGGCTAAATATGCTCCATGGAAATGAGATGTGCTAATGCTTATACAACGGAACACCAATTAACATTGGCCTACCACTAATGGTTCCCCTTGAACTGACCAATCACAAACTAATACATGTTAACTTAGCAAAATTTTCAAAGTCTATAGACCATGTCTAAGGGGGCGGAGCCAAATAATCTCCATGGAAAATAGATATGCCAATGCTTATACAACTGCATACCAAATATCATTGACCTACCACTAGTGGTTCCCCATAAATTGACCTAATCACAAACTAATACATGTAAACTATGAAAAGTTTCAAAGTCAATAGAACTTGACTGAGGGGGTGGGGCCAAATAATCTCCATGGTAATGAGATGTGCCAATGCTAATACAACTGCATACCAAATATCATTGACCTACAACTAGTGGTTCACCATGAACTAGACATAATCACAAACTAATACATTGTTGACGCTGCCGACACGGGAAACAGCATACCTTTGTCTCGCTTTTTGACTACGTCAAGGCGAGACAAATATACATCCATACTTCCATAGGACACCTTTCTAACACCCTGCCCAGCTTGCACTTTAACGTTTCCATGCTCAGTGAACTGCAGAATCTGAATCAAACCTTAATATGGTATATATCCTAAAAGGTTCACATCATGAGGAAGAACATTTGATGAAAACTTGTACTACAAGTAACAGTGGCGGAGACAGGGGGGGGTTCTGGGGGTTGGAACCCCCCTTTTTTTTTTGACAATCAATGCATTTGAATGGGGACATATAGTTGGAACCCCCTTTATCCTGGGTTGGGAACCCCCCCCCCCCCCCCCCCGATTCCACAAGTTCATGGTAAACTACCATAACCCAAACTTTAACCTGATACAGGATGAATTGACTAAATGACAAATAAACGCACATTTTGGAAAAAAAAAGCCCCTACTATCAAAGGCGGGGCAAAAGATTTCCTTAGAGTCAATCAGTGTGCACTTAAACATTTAATCTAATGACCCTTGAGAAATGTAATCTTCATCTATCTGAACCACAGTTGTTTCCCCTGGTAGCTGTCTGCTGGCTGACAAGTTGGATCGATTTGATGTAGCAGATGACTGTCTGGTGCCTCTGCTTGAACGACTACTTGCAGAATTTGCTTTTCTGTTTGTCCTTGAGTCTTTCATTTCAAATGTGTTATTCATATGATGAGAACTTGATGCGATGCCTTGACGTTGATTCCTGTTCATTTCTAATGACACATTTCTTTGTCTGAAACTAGAAGCACTTGCATGTCTTGAATTAATGGAACGCATATCAATGGAAGGGTTTCTACGCTGCATGCTAGAAGCGCTGCCCTGCCTAGAATTCATGCTATTACTGTGGACTCTTTTTCTCCCGCCTGCTTGCGCAGTTCCACTATTATTTCTAGTCCGTCTGCTACTGCTATGGTTTCTCATGCTGCCATTATGTCGGACTGAATTATTATCACTATCATCATTAATCTTTGTTTTTAATTCTCCAGCATAAGCACTAGCAGTAAAAATAGCAAAATTTGTGGTGAGACTTTTTGGAGGTAAAGGCATGGTTGCATTGTCACAGCTCTCTTGGTGAGAATAGGATGCTATGGAAACAGCCTCCATGCTGTTTTTCTCAAGGTTTATATCAACACCTTGAGCAGAAGCACGACTCCCAAGCGAACTTTTACTACTCCGCCTCTTTCCACGTCTCCTCCCACCATAAGCTGCTGCAGCCATTTCCCTAGTAACAGGTGCTAAAACAGGTAGAACTCTATTTTTGTGACTTTTACGTTTCTTCTTTCGCTTTCTTCTCCGCTTACCCCTACCATCACTGACTCCTGCTCCACCACCACCACCACCGATCATGTTTGGTAGATCTACGTACTCCTGATCAGCATCCTCGTCATCACTGTACTGGAACTGTCCTTGTGCTTCACTCAGTTGTGAATCTAAGGACTGACGTCTGGAAGCCATCTTTGAAGCAATAGATCCAACATCTACAATAAGTCAATAGTATCATGTATTAGTTACCTTTTTCTTGTATTTTATACAGTAGTATTAAATATATAGTTAGTTGGTTAAATCATAAGGAACTGGATTCCAGTGTTACCTGTGATATTTGTTATGGTAAATCCTAATTTTGGAACCAGTTAAAGTTATTTCAATGGCAGCATGGAAGACTTGGTTTTCAAGGATGCAAAGCCAATAAAACCATTGCATGTCAGATTTGTTCAGTCTTTTATATTTTCAGTAAAAAAAAATTTTTTCAGAATTTCAAGCATATCTTACTACAATGACAAAATCGTTGGAACACCAATTTTTTTGTAGGACCATGAAAAATTGCATTCTGTCATGAACTCTGTGTTTAGTCAAGGTTTTATAAAACTTGTACTGTTTTTTCTGTCTATGACAAATAAGAAGGCCTTACCTGGGTCTGCATATATACGATTAGTTCCTGCTGTTGGGGCAAACATGCCTCCTCTCCTTCTGACCAACTTACCTGAGTCTGCATATCTACGGTTAGTTCCTGCTGTTGGAGCAAAATTGCCTCCTCTACTTCTGACCAACTTACAGTGGTCAGAGTATCTATATTTAGTTCCTGCTGTTGGAGCAAACATGCCTCCTCTCTTTCTAACCTTCTTACCTGAGTCTGAGTATCTAAGGTTTAGTTCCTGCTGTTGGAGCAAACATGCCTCCTCTCCTTCTAACCAACTTACCGGAGTCTGAGTATCTACGGTTAGTTCCTGCTGTTGGAGCAAACATGCCTCCTCTCCTTCTAACCAACTTAGGCATGGCATTAGCAAATGTTGAGGACATCTCATGTGAACTTACACTGTTCAAGTCAAACTTCATGCCTAGAAAAATATCACATGCAAAGTTAAACACATGATACAGTTAGTCAAAATACCTTAGAGATAATTTCCTAATGCTTGTAGATTAAGACTTTGGTTGGCTTACTTGCTTTGTTTGTATAAACGTTTGCTCAAGCATTGTAAATAAGATTGACATCTGCAAACAATATAGATTGGGTGGAGTTAGACCTTACTAACATTGTCTTGTTATGTTTACAAGTACAATTGGGTGTTCCTAACCTCCAGGATAACATCCAATCAATTTTAAGTATAATGTATACATGTTTAACTCCGCCTATTTTATATTTTTTGCAGATGTCAATCTTAATTAGAACGCTTGAGCAAACTTAAATGCAAACAAAGCAAGCAAGCCAACTAAAGTCTTAATCTACAAGCATTAGGCAATTAGCTTTAAAACTTAAAAACTTATTTGATAAGAATAATGTGGATTCATATACTTCAATGGGTACCAATTTTTATTGACTGAGAAAAATTTGTGATTTCTTGGATACCAGATTTCAACAATTTCTACATGCATTCCTTCCACAAATCAAAATTTTGTTAAATATTTAAATTCTTGGTCCACATATATCTACAAAAGCCATGATAATTTTGACCTTGTGAATAGACTCCACAGTAAACCCTTACCTAATGGATCATCATGTGTACTCCCAAAACTTATAGACAATCGACCATTGTTTATGTCTTTCCTCCTTTCAAAAGCCCTCGCTATCATCTTGTGTTTCTTTAATTTTACTGGCTTGCTAGAAGGCCTGTTGAAAATTCTGAAAAATAAAAGTCAAATTTTAAGTCATGACTTCAGTTTAAATAATTGTACTAACTGTTAGACAACTCAGTATATATACTAAAACTTCACCAGTTAATATATTAATTTGTTACTCATTAAAATGCTCCTTTTATTTTCATATCTTTACCTGATATCACTAAATATCAACATGATCAAGCAATACCTCTGATGTAGATGATGTCGTCTGTTTTATATTTACTAAGAATTATGATAATAGAACAATTGCAATCATGAAAGATGTAAAATCTTATTCATCAAAGAATTATATTTCACATATCACATGCCTGGTAAAAAGTTACCCAAACATTTCTTGGATTTTTTGTGGCTTGCACTAATAGTAGTGGTATTTGATTTTTTTCACCAAGGTCGCTTCAAAATACAAATAAATGCATAACACTGGTTGTGGTCTATATTAGTTAATTACTACCTGTCAACTATAATTATTAGTAAAATTTACACTTTAGGCATCAGATTCTTTCATGATTTTCCTAAATTTTTTATACAGAATTCGTGCATAACAATATGTTACACATACAAAATAAATTTTAATACTGTAAACCAAATAATTTTCCGCAGCGATTTATTTTCATGACTTTCACTAGTATAAAAAAATAACGCAAATATAAATCTTCGCAAAAATGAAAAACTTGGGATTTTTTCTTATTTAACATCAAGTTAATTTGAAAATCACAAAATTAAATTGCAGTGAAGTGGGCTAAAAAGGGCTGAACGTGAAATAAAGTATCCATGAAAATAAGTTGATTTACAGTAATCAGTAACACTTTGCAGTTAACTTTGTTAAAACTCAATCTTTTAAAAGTTAAACTTACTTCCTGACGAACCGTTCCCATGACAACAGAGATGCTTTGGTCCATGACCAACTGCTCATCAAGATACCTGCACCAAAAAATGCCAGGATGTGAAAATTAACAGCAGCCACACTGGGTCTGTCTCCAAGGGAACATACTCTATTGGATGTATTGTATACACTGGTGGTCACGGTAACATTAGCTTGGCAACTGAAACAAAAACAATGTCTATCGTCTAGCACTGAGAACTCATATCAAGAGGTTTATAATCATAATGAACTAAAATAATTGTCAATAGCAGTCTGCACTGTTAGGCACTAGTCTGATGCTCTAGACTAGAAAAATTTTATTGAGACTAGTAAGTATTTGCAAATTTTTGCTTAGACACATAAAATGTCAGAATATTAGTCTTTGATTTTGGTGCAGACTGCAATAGAAGAATTTCAGTTGCATTTCAATATATACCTTCATAAACTGCAAAATCACTCAATACCTGGAGAGTAATTAATTACTTATCCCAGAGTTTTCCTTTTTTAATGTTGTAGATATTTTCAATACATAAGAGGTAGTCCTAAAGAACATCAATATCTATATATAGGCAGTGTATGCATGTTATTCATTAGAGTTAGAATATATGACAATGTCACTGGCGGTCAGTCGTATATTATCCGTGTTTTTTCTATCTAAAATTAAGATTGCCAGGCAGGGGTGCGGATTATAGAGTACTATACTTACAATATGTAGTCTTTTAAATGCTTTTCCCATTCAGTCTCATTTGTGAAAGTATACAGATGTACACTAAATGTTATCACCACAAACACACATGCTAATGCTGTAAAGATGGCTGCAAATACAATTTCAAGTATAATTACATGTATGTCTTTCAATAACTTTTCCTTTGAATACCATGAATTCAATATAAAGACAGTGTATAACAGGACGATTACAGGTAAAGTTCAAAGATATAACATTTACTGGTATTCACTGTGAAAAGTCCATGGGATGACATGTTACCCTCGACATAGACACACTATTCTGACTCCAAGCTGACTACTCTTTGCTTTTACTCCTTTGTGCCAGGTGCTTAGTGGAGAAGCAATAAACCCCAATTTTAAAGTCTTTGGTTTGACCTCGCATAGAACTCACAACCTTCCACAACTAGGATAGAACCCATGGCCTATCACACTCAATGCAAGCCTCTGAGGCAGCCAACAAAATATAGAGTTTGTTTTCTTCTTTGTTCCAATAATACATGCAATCAATATACCAGTCATGTCAAATACTACTCTTACTTTGCTTTATTGACAATGTATATTAGTTTCTTTTTAAATTCAAACTTTGCAACCACAGAAATGATTGAAAAGGTATAGTGTACTTTCTATCAAATGAAAAAGACTATAACTTTAGAGGGGCCTGATGGGTTATTTTCATTCTTCTTGATCGGCGCATTTTCGCTATCGTGATCCGTTTTTCTACAGATTTTTTTTTTTTTATATTTTCGTGATCCGTGATCATGGAAATTTATTTTCTGTGAATCGTGATTGACAAAAAAATCAACTCGTGAATCGTGATGAGACCCCCCCATCAGGCCCCTCATTTTACAAAATTCATGACAGAAGAATTTTCAACTTGTAGAAATGAACATGCTTATACATTTTGTTTGCTTTCATGACATGCTAGAATGTTAATGTAAATAGATTTCCATTGTTTAAAAAAAGCAAACCCCAAAAGACTTGAAGCTTTTGTCAGTAGTAGCTGAGTAAAATGCAGCAGTCACATATGGAGAAACAAATGGATGAGTTGATGTTTGGTCAAATTTGATAAAGGGTCACTGTAAACTTAAACTGACGGAGGAGATAAATTTTATAATAAATCATTTAAACATTACAAAAAAGAGGCGGAAAATACCAAGGGGACATTCAAAACCCATTATGAAGAGAAACTGAAAACAAGAACCCAAACAAAAACCAGAGGGTGACCTCAGGTTCTCCAGAAGGATTAGCAGATCCTGTCACACATGTGACACCTTTACAGGCACTATATGACATTGATATACATGTATATTCTGATGATATTTACAAGCATAACATCTGCATATTTACTTACCTAATCTGATGATAGTTTCCTTAATTTTGGCCTTGGCTTTGTCACTGATAAAATCTGGTGTATCTACCTTCAGTGCCCATAATGTCTTAAATGCTGAAATAACAAATGAATCTGTCAGCTACTGCTCACTAATGATACCCCCGCCCTCTTAAAGTGTACGGTAAACAGGAAGTTGTTAAGTGATGAATCTGAAAACACATCACAAGGTATAGCTGACTTATATAAACCCTGAAACCAAATTTCAGAAATCCTTGTATTGTAGTTCCTGAGAAAAATGTGACGAAAATTTTCAACTTGGCTATCGTGTAAAATGATAAAAATGTTTGGAAACAATAAGTTGTTGAGTGATGAATCTGAAAACGCATCACACAGTATAGCTGAATTATATAAACCCTGAAACCAAATTTCAGAAATCCTTATGATGTAGTTCTTGAGAAAGATATTCATGGGACGGACGGACGGACTGACGGACGGACAGACAGACAGAGGTAAAACAGTATACCCCCACTTTTTTAAAGCAGGGGTATAATAAACAATCGATCACAATCCAATCTTTCTACTGAAGTCTCCTCAAAGGAACCTCAATTTATCTAAACTTATATAGAATGCACTCATTTTTGTCTTTATAAAAGAAAATTAACACAACTTCTTATTAATGATTCATTTTCAAGGGTACCAATTTTAGTGAATTGAGAAAAACCTATATTTTTATGGATATTTGATTTTCTGGTTTTGATCCATTTTGTACAAAAGCCAATTGGACATTTTTATTTTGTTGAACACATAAATTTGGTTCACAAAAAAACACAAAATTTCTGAAAATAAGTACCCCATTGATGATAATGAACACACAGTATATAAATATAGATTCTACCACTGCATCGAGTGTGATACGATATTTATCCACTCAAGACTGTTAAATTTTCAAATTTAAAACGCGAGGCTTGCCGAGCGTTTTAAATGTTTAAAATTTAACTGTCGAGAGTGGATAAATATCGTATTACACGAGATTTGGTGGTGGAATCTGTTTCTCTAATGATTTTCAAACAATATGCAGGCAAACTTATTCCTTCTTTTTGAATGATCTGCAAAAAGATGTGTTCTTTCTATGTGACGTCATCAGGCATGGTCGCCTTTTTTCATGCCGTCACAATAGGAAATTCAGAGGAAAGCAAGAAAATTCGATGTCATAATCGGATTTTATCCAATGAAGAACTGAGATCAAACGAACCACACGTTGATTAAATTTTTTTTATACAATGGGTGCAGAAAGGGATAAATTGATGAAGAATTAGAGAAATGTATTTATTCCATTGTAAAAATCATCTTCCTCTTCATTCAAATTAGAAGTGACCTTAAATAAGGAATACTGTAAATTCAGAAATTATGGCGTGCATTTATTATTGGGAATTTGAAGAATGGACAAAAATGCGAGATTATATATTATTGCAATTTCAAGAAATTCTGCCTACAAATATATGTCTCAGATATCAGAATGTGAGTTCTTATTTTTGAGATACTCGCCCAGTTCATTATTCGAATTAATAAAAACCTCGCAATATTATCTAAATTAAAACAGTAGCCTGGTCCATTTCTACCTTTAGACAGACCAAGCATAATACTTACTCCACAATGAATTCAAACTGGTCCCTTACCTATCCATCGTATTATATATATCTAAAGAAGGTCAAATAAAATCTTACCTTTAACAAGAAATATCATGCCTAATATGAGAACCAGTATAATAGGAACTAACAGGAAACCAGCTCTATATCCTTTATTTTGATAACCAATCATACAAATACCACTGACTGAATCACCATCAATCTGAAGAAAATAAAAAACATTGAAATTTAGAGGTAGGAATTGATTTTTATCATCATTAAGTGATTTTACATGGAGGAGTGACAATGAATAAGTTATGCATATATATACAAATCCTTGTCCAGTCAAATTGCTTGAATTTTCCCCTTTAAGTTTCATAGTACATACTTTTTCCATATACTACAGTCCGTGTAACATAAAAGTTAACAAAATGAATGATGCCCGAATCATGTGCCAACAATTGATGTACCAACTCAAACTAATGCTTCCCGAAATTGTACGAACACTAACAAACATTGTAGGTACTACAGTATATACATCATATGATAAACGATGCCATAAACGCTTGGTTAGCATACATCGTTTTATTAAGCATTCATCGTATCATTAAAAACAGCATTTTGTAGATCATAATTGCTGTTTACCGTTTCAGTTTTCAAGATGTAAATGGAAAAAAATGCTAGAGTTTGTCTTTTAAGGGTTATAACTCCTATAAGAATTCCATAAATATTTTTAGTCAATTTAGCTTAACTGAAGATCTTAAGTAGTGCTGATTTATTTATGCTGTCAACAGTTTCTGCCTGTCTATCATCTGTAGTTTCAAGTTAAAAGGAAAAAACGCTAAAATGTGCAAAAAACTAAAAATATTTAATTTCCTCAAAGAGTCAATGTGGTTGTGTCAGTCATATTGGCAATTTTGTAATCTTGAATCGCTGATCATTCTAAACAGTTTCTGTCTATCAATTGCAGTTTTAAAGATAGAAGGCAAAAACATTTAAATGTGTCAAAAACATAATTTTAGGGCAATAACTCCTACAAGATGTTAATAAACGTTTTCAGTCATATTGATCTTTTGGTGGAAGTTGTATTGCTGATTATCTTTGCTGATAGTTTCAGTCTATTCTATCAAACTATTATTATAAGAAATGCTCAAAGGAGTAGGGGCATTAAGGCCCAGTTTTGGCCCAAGAAAATAAAATGTTTGACAACTATTTCAAATTGGCACATAATATTTGGAAATGCATAGAGTGAAGAAATATAAATGAAAAACATAAGATTGTTTATCTGATGACGTCACAATTATGTCATAATATGTACCGTTTTCATGAAAACGATGAAAAATGCAGAATTTGTGCAATTTTCCATCGTTTTTTCCATTACGGAAACATCATGCGCAGCCAAGAAACAACAAAATAATTTAGAAGAAGCTTTATTATAACTATTGAAATAATCTCACCAAATATAAAGTTGTTTCTTGGTGCGCACATACTTTGCCAATCCTAAATATACTTAGAATTTGATGAAAAACAAGGAAATTCAAGAAATTTTATAAAATATACAAATTTCGTCATGGTTTGTTGCCATGGTAGCTTGTTCAATGTGAAATTTGTTTTTATTTTCTGAAAAACTTGTACCTTAGTCTAGTTAGGACAAATTTAAGAATATTTGTGATAACTTTTAAATTTGCAGTAATATTTGGGCCAAATAAGGGCCTTATTGCCCCTGCTCCTTTATCATTTGAGGGCAATAACTCTTATGAGGTGTCATTTTCTAATTTCAGTTTAATAATAATAATATTGGCCTTTTGGTAGATTTTGTATTGCTGATCACTTTTCTGTTTACAGTTTCTATCTAGTATAGTTTTCAAGATTATATCTAAAACTGCAAGAGTTGTGTAAAAGAGAGGCCAATGATACCAAAAGGCCATTCAAACTCATAAGTCGAAAATAAACTGACAATGCCATGGCAAAAAACAAAAAAAGACCAAAAAACAAACAACAGTATACAAAACACAACATAGAAAACTAAAGACAAAGCAACATGAACCCCATCTTTGTGTAAAAATTGCTATCTATAAGGAATATAAAAATGACTAAAACTGGAACTCATTTGAATTTTCTGTATTTAATTAGAAAAATAAATAAGAGAAACTTTCCAAACGAAAATAAATATTCTATTTGATTGAAAGCTATGTTTTGTCTAATATAGATACATATTATTTAATTTGTCCTTTGATACAAAATTTTACATAAACTTGTCAAATTTGTAGAAATGTCGTCAACAGACACAAGAATATAATGCACATGCTGTCGTGCTAAGCATACCCTCAATTGCAATTTAAGGTATCAAAAAAATAGGAAGTAGGTGTCTGATATATCCTGAAAATGCACACCCAATACAACTTACCAGTCAGGGGACTTACTTAAATCAGTGATTTTCTAAATCAAGTAACATTATGTCCATAAAGGTTGGAAGTAAGAGTTGTCTTTCTTTAATAATCACCTATTTAAGTACAAAATGTAGTACAAATAAATCACTAGACTAAGTGATTTAATTTTATTGTAGCTTTAAATATAGAATACTAATGATCCAGGGACTAATTATGTTGCTAAAATTATAAGAACCAACATCTGTGTTGATAGGATGACAGGGTCATGTCAGGTGATGACCTTGTACTAAATCTAGGATAATGACATAAAAATCACTTGTTTAAGTATCATACCTCTATTTTCTTCCAAAATATCACTTCTTTAAGTATTATTATTTTAATAACCACCCACTTATTTCAACACCCCCGAACAGTGAAATTTTGATCGCGAACAGTAGAATTTTATTACATAATCTATAAGATGAAACCTTGAATTTTACAGGAAAAATACTCCCACTGCTGGAAAAAATCTGTTAAGAAAGTATCAGTTCATTATGTAAAGCCATTTTTATAGCATTTTTTCAACTAAAATAGAATTTGCAGCTAAATAATTGCATCAAACTAAGGCATAAACCTTGCTGCTTAAAAGAAGCAAAAAGTTCATTTTTTTCAATTTTACTAATGAAAAGATATTATCTAAACCTATTGTGTTTAAAATTTTGGTAAAACTACAAAATCACAATTTGTGACAAAACTTCGAATTTGCTACTTAAATAAGTGATTTAAAAATCACTTATTTCAATAAGTTCCCTGACTGCTTACCAATAGTTTCTGAGAGAAGTGCGACAATATTTTTTTAAGTTCATTCAATATATTGAAAAATTCAAAGTATCAGCAACAGGAAGTATGTATCTTACAGATCCTAAAAGCATACACACATTACAACTCATCACTGTCAAGCTACTGACCAAATATGAAGTCATTCTGTTTAGTATTTTCTCATAAATATGTGATGAAAATATTTGTTGGTTGGACAGATGGACTGATGGAAATCTAAGGTAATTGCAATATAGTCTCCACTTTTAGAGTGGGATATACCATATTGCTTAATGAGATTTTGATTCTGTAGATACATGTCAGTCCATTAAAAACGTTTTTAATATTAATATTGCACGAGGTATCAATCATTCAGATTTTGACTCTTTAAGGGAATACAATACAGTTTCGATCCCACAGTGATTTTTTTACGCAAATTTGCATACAAGCTTTTTTTCACCTGGTCAATTCAAATATGTAATAAAAAATATACCTTCATGTTCTAAATTTAGATTCAAATGGGGTCGAAATTTTAGACATTTACCTAAAATTTCAGTTTCTTGGACATTTCTATCCTTTGGATAGACATATTAAATTATTATACTTCATGTCAAAATACTATTGATTTTGATTGGTTAATACGAGTGAGACAATTTACTCTATCATATGGCAAATACTCTATTACCCTTCACGGAGACGCTTGCTCAAGTGTGCGGTTTAATAAATACGGATGATTATTATGTACAAGACGTAGTAGTTTATTACTTTGAATTTGAAATTTAATAGACAGTAATAACAATACATTCAGTATAATAAATAAGATAGCACATATCTGAGAGGGTGATAGAGCAGATTGTTACCCCTGGAAAAGACATTGTCAACCTTGGCTTCGCCTCAGTTGACAATGTTTTCTCTGGGTAACAATCTGCTCTATCACCCTCTCAGCCATGTGTTATTTATATACTATTCTGTTTCAAAAGATAAACACATGCAGATTTTTATAAAACGATTTAGAATATCTTCTTTACAAAAGTATCCTCTTAATTTGTGTAACAATTCTTTGAAAATAATTCATTTTTATTAAATTTTCAAGATTTTAGAAAAAAGGCATTTTTTGCTGTATATTTATCTAATTTAATCAGTGATTTCTTCATAAAAATTGGAATAAATAATCTTCATACAGTATCAACTCAAATGTCATTTTAAAAAAGAGGGGTACATGTACTCGTTTTCAAGCTATTGATTAAAATCAATCGAAAAATGTATCTTTTCTCGATATATGTCGCAGTTTGACGTCACGAAAAATAACATTTTACATTAGCAACGTCATTACCTCCCCTGTAACTGTATCGTATGCCCTTAAATGACACATATACAAGGGAAGTATGACCTCTTTGTGAAAAAAAATGTAGGTCATTTTTTTGGGGGAAAAAACCATCAATCAATTTTCCACTTATACTAAAGTGACTCAAGTTTAGGTATGCTTGTTTTAAATGAACCAAAAAAAGACAGATTATTATACATTTACAAATGTCTTGCTTCCTAAATCACTTCAATAAATGAATTCTATATTGTACCAGTGAATTGTTTTCTTGATACCACTACTTGTGGTTACTAAACCACACTTTGCTGTTCATGTCTTTGTTAGATAGTTGTTTCATTGGCAATTATACCACATTTTCTCATCTGATACTATATGAGGTAAACATCAATTAACGGTAAGATTGTTTATTAACTTATAAATAAATTTACATATAAATACAACTATGACATAACTGCAATAAGGAAATAGCTCATTGATATAACCTTGCATATTTTATTTACATCAGATTTAAATGGATCTGAACAATCAAAATTGTTATGAAAAGAACTTCTAACATTGGCAAAATGTTTTTGCAGAGTGGAGAAAGCAAAGATGATTTTGCATGCAAGATTTAAGCCACAATGAGTTACAAGCTTGAATGCTTCCCCATAAATATATGTTGGTTTTGTGTTAGTGAGACATAAAACAAAAAATACCAAAAAGAAGTCTAGAGAG